AGGATTATAAACACGCTCGGAATGTTAAAAAAAGTCACAATAAAGTGTTTTTTTATGACTTATTCAGGGTTGATTTGAAAATGTCTCGGGCGCTACAGAGCATACGGTCGAGTTTTGATAGAGTTTCGTTTGAAAGTCCGTATCCTTCTTCTTTAAATCGTCAGGCCTGTCCTAACATTGATTTATGCCAGATTATTTTGCCCTCAAGCATGCAGATAATTAAATCTTACGAGAACACTTCAAAACTAATTCACAAAACTAAATGCATTTCAGATGTGAAATAAATCAGTTTCATCTCTTACAAAGGATGATTTATTTTCTTTCCCAAACAGTGCGTTGTTGATTTGTTCTAGAACTCAGGTGGGTGGCAAAAGATTTTCTTATCGTTTTCATAATCCTGCCCTGAAAACCTTTTCTTAACGCCCGCTCTTTTGATCCAAACCTCAAAAATTTTGACTACAGATAGTATCGATAAGAAAGGCAAAAGATTTTAAAATAAGTCTTGAACGACTCTAGGGAGATAAATTGAGAATCTTTGCGCAGATGTCATCCTACACTGAATTTGACATTGCATGTATCAGTCGTAAGACGAGGAGGAACTTTTGGCGGTTGTGTGTTTGGTTTAGTTTCTCACCCACCTTCAACTCACGTAAAAGGAAATTCCACCTTCCCCATTTTTCAGTTGCCACTGACTTAAGTACGTATTGTCGAGTTTAACCCGGAGTCGGAAAACGATGGCGTAAAATAGGATAAATAGAAAGTGGGCGGTTCTATGTTAATGAGAGGAGAGCGGTTACGTATGTATCAGATATTTCAGGGGGTTTCTGGGGTATTTAAAAATAGCTGGAAAACTTAATTAGTACTGTAATGTTGGATGATCGAAAGACTTGAGAATTCTACGTCCTACGAGGACAAAAACCATCATATTTTACCCGCAGGGAGAAATAGTGCTCTAGTAGATGAGTTATAGAGTGAAGTGGGCGGCGTTCTCCTTTGAGGCTTTTACTTTAAACCTGGGTTATGCTATTTCGGTAGGATGGCGCCCCCCTACGTTAACTTTAAGACACCCCGCAAGCCTTTTACGGGACTTTTGCGACAAATCCGTATCCTAAACGGGACCAAAATGGCGTTTGATGGCCACCAACATGGGCACGAAAGTTATCTGTTTTGCGTGTAATTTAGTTACGGTATTTTGCAATGACTTACTATTTTTAATGTTTTTGTGGGATTCCGCCCTCTTTATGGGCGTCGTCTGACATAAGCCTGGGCAGTGAGACTGTAAAGCTCAAAGTTGGAACTCTCAGTTCCATTCGCTAAAGGGCTTTCATTTTTATAGTCTTCACGATATGGGCGATCTAACATAAGCGTTAACGTTTGCGATAACTGCATACACAAAACGATAAGTTTGTGGGAAGTTGTTTACAAGCGGTACCTGTTAAATGTTACAACGTTATTTTGTTAGGTTCGATCAAAAACATTCAATTATCCGTTATCGAATGCAGCTGCTTTCCAATCCTCCTTTACTAATTTTAGACTTCTTTTAATCTTCCTAAATGACCACCTGCACAGATGATCAGTGTGGTATAATTTTTGTCACGAGTTCCGCTGCAATTTTTGCGGCGCAAAGATTGCAACTTGTTGCAATTTCAGACTAATTTGAACACAATCTCGCCAGAATTTGTATGCAATGCGATAAAAGGAAAGAGGTTTTTCAGGGCATGTACAGATACCGCATTATGATCTATAACCGAGGTAGAGGTGATGGTTTAGTCGTAAGGTCAAAATCTCCAGTGTTATCACGCTGACATCATGACAAAATCGGCCTGCAAATCTAGGCTGGCTTACACGCGCGATTTGGAGTTGCAATAGTAGCGCGACCAGTGTCTCAGACATCGCAAGGCCAAGAAAAAACTGCACCAAAAATCGTCTAAAGAAATGAGCCTTAAAGATCAATAGTTGCATAACAACACTTCCCAAGCTGTATTGCCCTGTAGTTGAATTCTTTTGCAACTGTGGCATTTAGTATCTGATAAAACTGTTCGACCTCCCTTGCGGCTTTTTAATGAGAACTAATGACCTCAGCTTGTCAGATATTTCGCCCGCCGGCAAAGGATCAAATTGACTGACTATATATAAAGACCCAGCCGGTGGTCTCCGACGATTTTATAACACGAATATATAGTCCACGCACAATAGTCAGGTCCTTCAGTTAACTCAGGATCATTCAGAGTCGACGCCCGTTGTACTCGACTTGGGCGCATGCGCATCACTCTCAACCGAAAGTCCTGTGTGGTAAGTGATTCAACCAAACACACAGTCAGTTGCAAATCTAACGTTTCTGCGTCTTTAGCAAACGAAGGTCGAACACATGGAAAAGAAAAGAGCTTGTATTTTCCCGTTCAGCTCTTTCTTGCATACGGCTGGCGCGCCTGAAATGTAAGTTAACAGGAATAGCATTGAAATCAGGCAACTTTTCTTACTGGAGATGGCATTAAATATTCACGAAAAAGGATTTACAAATCTCAAAACCATATCTGATTGTAAAAAGTGAAAAATATGAGACATTTTGTGTCTCCAAGCTTCCAATTTGGCGCCAAAACTGGGTCGCCCGCGTCCGTCATGCTTGGCAACTCGCTCGTAGTTCGTCGAGTGTCGCCAGGTAAGGTAATAGCTGTCTTATTTTGAAAAAAATATGCTGTTCCTCGTCAATTTAAACCCAGAATTCTCAAGTTAACTATTAGAAGAGGCCAAAGCAGCTTTAGCATTGCCTTTATTTTTGTTAGCTTCGAAGAAAAAGGCTATCATCGTGTCGTTGTTCGTGTCGTTTCGGTAGGACAGCTATGTTTTAACTGCCGCTAGTACTGCGGGCGCAGCCGCCGTATGCAAGGTTTTTCCTGTCTACCAAGACTCAGAGCAACTCGGAGGAAGAATATCTTTTGACTAAATATGGAAGCATGCGGCATTTTCACTCTAACTACACCAAGCTGCTAGTTCAAGTTACTTCTTACGCAAATTCCGAAAGTAAGCTACTCCCCTCCCCCCCCCCAAAAAANAGTTAGTTGGGGAGCAGCGCGAAAACGACGAGAGGAAAAAAAAAAAATGGTCTTATCGTTTTTCGTGTTACGCTCCGACTGCTGATAAACGCCTGGAAGCCTGTTTCACGCTTTTGAGAGTTTTTAGGAATTTTAACTTTCTGTGTGTAACATGTTCAGCACTATTATGCCAACCACCTTAAAAAATTTCTTTGTCGCTTTCTGTGTCGAACTTATTACACATATTTCAATAAGAAGTCGAGAGAGTTTGTCTGCAACTATTTTGAGCAAAAACGTGTCTGCTGTTAAAATAACAGTGTCATAGAGATTCAAAGTCGGTCAAAGTTCCACACACTTTATTACCAAAATGTTTGCCGAGTGTTTCCTCTAGTTTCCTCTAGTGGAAACACTAACAGCTGACAGGGGTTGGGCAATTCCCCCCCCCCCCCCCCCCCCAAAAAATGAGCCCTCTAAACTTCAGACGCGAAATTTCCCCAAAAATATCCCTCCCTCCACCCCGCCCCACCCAAAAAAAAAATGCTTGTGATTTTTTATTTCGATTTAGCCCTCAGAGATAAATATAACTTCCTCCAGTTTTAAGCTGCCATTTGAAGACCTTGTTCTGTATTTGCTAAGGGATATTTGGATGTTCATTTAACCACTACAGAACTTGTTTCGAGCCTGATACCGCTGTGGTTAGAACGTTCCCTAACTTGTTGTCATCAGCAACATCACTTTCAAATGTAAAGCCAAATATTTTTGAAACGTAAAGGGATGTCTCCGGCCCTAATACCAAGACCTTCCGAAAACAAGTTCACGAGAAAAACCTTTTTGAAAAAATATAAGAACAGCTAGGGTTTATTATGAAATGTTTTGATTTGTTTTAGTTCTTGTTCGGTTTTTTTTCCTATTTTGTGGATTTGGATTGTTTTTGATGTTTTTGTCGATGTATTTTGTTATCAGCGCCAATTTGCCCCATGACGCACTAAACTGCGATCAGGCGTTCTTTTTCCCTTTCCTCGTTCGCCAAAAAAAGAACGCCTGATTGCAGGTCAATGACGCACTTTCCTGTAACCAGATTACGCACAGAGTACAACGGGATGTCCAATATATTGCATAGTTATATATAATCGACAGAGATAATGAGGAAACAGCTGGTTTTACGATAAGCTGTGTCGATAATTTACAGACACTTTATGCTTAAAAAATAAGTACACTAGGCGTTATAATACTCACATATTTCCTTTTCCTTTTTCTAAGCGGCTTATCACTTTTGAAAAGTCTCTTTTTCAAAAGCAAGGGGAAATGTTTCACGCCTTCGAATGATGGAAACTAAAGACTGGTAGCACTTTCTGCATCAAGACGTTTTTCTCTTTTAACGATATCTAAATGAAAAACAAATGAATTACTGGCTGACTCGTGATCAAACTCAACAGTAGATAAAACAAAAATGCACACAATTAATGGGGTGGGGGGGTGGTCGAAGAATAGAGGAAATGTTTCAGGCTTATTAACGGCATTACAAATTTAAAGTCTTTTAAATCTGAGCGAGCGGTGGGAGGGCAAGATTCAAGGACGTACTGTATGTCAAGGATGACTGGCTCGGCTTGACTGAAAACTCGAGTATGAAGTTTCTTCATTCGAATTTTTGGATCAAACTGACCAATGATTATCTCCGTGAGTTTAGACTTTTTACCTTTGGCATTGACCCTGACAGAAATCAGGCGAAGAGGAAATATTTGGATTTACCCATTAAGTTCCATCTTAAAGTAATCCTGTTATGACTGAACTGTCATCATGTAGTACGCAGTGCGTTCGTGGCTTAAGTTAATTTACTTAGCGATATCATTTCTTCCGATTATAAACATCCTTTTTGTAGCACCTAAAATTGCTTAGGCACAATTTTTTCCCAAATATTTATACCAACCATATTTGAAACGAAAAATTCCACCTTTCTAAAATCCCCNCCCCCGCCTCTCATTCCTCGTTCCTGCCCCTTTTCGCATAAATAAGCCAAAAAAAAACCTTTCAACAAAACGGAGTTTTAGGAATAGGTGGTAACTTCTGCATCAAGAGGTAGTTGTTGTTGTTTTCCACGATGTCTCCTGGAAACAGGATCACTAATTCGTGATCAAACCCGGCAGTAGATGAGTAAATGTGGCCGGAGGGTGCTGGAAGAATGGAGAGGGAACTCCACTTCGCTTTTCTCCATAAACGCAGGAACCAATAAACTTTGTAATTATTTAAAGCTGCTTTGTAAGCCGGTTTTTATTGTCCTAATCTCGAATCACTTTGGTTAATACTCCTTATGATGTCTAAGAAGTTGAATTCTTGTCCGGCGCTCAGCAAGACATAAGATGTTGAAAAGACTGAATAACAAGATTTCGTTATTGTATTGGAATCTTGTTAAGAAGAAATTAAACAAACGTGGCAAGCAAATAAACTGTATAGTAAGTTTCTTCGCAAGGCAGATGTATTTTCCGTGTAAAACCTCATTTCCGTGAGAATAATTAATTTTTAAGTATTCCTAAACGCTATATGACTGAGTCTATTTGCCAAGTTTAAATTTAGCACAAGAGGTTAGGCACAACTTAATGTAGGCCACATTTCCGAAATCCCACTTTTTTTTCTTTTCAATTACTGCCTTCATGTAATTAAGAAGCAATACACGTGCCACGTTTTCAAGAACACTTGTCTGTGCACAAACTAAAGTGAAGTCTAAAATTAGGTTCATTCCGCAAGTGACCTGAATATCTTGTTTGAAGGGTCCTATCATCAGTGCATTTCAGTCGTATGTCTACAGTAGACTAGTTCTGGTTTTAGCAAGGAGCAGCGCTGAAACTAAAACTACCCAGAATTTTCACTAGGAAATACCAACTGATTTTATAAGCAGATAAACCTCGTCTACATATCGGTTTATCTCACCATACGCAAATCTCTTCTTATCTCATAAATCACTTAATCCGGCGCGTGCCACCATAATAATGTCTGTATTGACTATGGGGTCCGTCGATAAATCAGTTTTTTTCTGACTGATACGAGTTCCCCGTGCATGTCAATGGTATATAAGGACGTTGGTCAGACTTTACTCCCAGGGGGAACACAACAAAGTTTTATACAGGGAGGCACCGCCCCGACGTCCGAATCCTTAAACTTTTATGGAAACTCTACCATGTAGAAATTCATCCTTCTTTGTACTAGGAAGTGATTCCCAAACACTTTGATGTATTAGCCGTTAGGTACATCTGTGCGAGATATTTTGAAAGGGTTATCTACAGACACTGCCTTAAACTTTTGAAATTCCGGTGTACTATAGCATATATCTCCAGTCTGAAAATGGTCCCCCTTTTTCGGGCACAGCCCCCTCATATAACCCCCAGGGGCTTTTTGTGAGCACAGCATTTGTTATTCAAATGTTGCAAAATTGGCCACAGCATGATTATAGCGGAAATTTGCTGAAACCAAACCCTTGCCTGGCGTCGAAACAAATATTCCAAGAGCCATCCCCGGCCAACTGGCAGGAGCGTACGTCAGCAGTTACAAGGCGAGGGCTATTTATATCATAAAACGACTATTTATAAAATAGTTCTAGCTCAGTCGTAATGCGCACAGCATCTCAGATATTTTATAAATGATAATGTGATATTCATATACGCGTATATTGCTAAGTAAGAACCTTCTGGAAATTTGCTCCTTAGAGTGGTGAAATTATATATAGCAGGCTGAATGTTTTGCTAACTTTAATTGCTTTCCAAAAAACCGTTTAGCGATGGCGATGTTGAAAAAATCTTTACTTGTGCTATGGGTGATGGTTCTGATCGTGACAGAAGCCAAACACCACGCTCGTCATCGACAAAAAGTGAGTTGGAAGTTTTTTTTTAATCTCCTCTTAGCAACATACCGCGTTGGAGATGCTTATTAATTAACAGCAGGCATCGAAAATTACTTTTCCTAACTCATTGAACTTAAGACGAAAATTAGACGAAAACAGGAAAATCTCCGCAGAAGTCATGTAACCATGCATGGAATTTGTTGTCGGATTTCGTTTGTGCTGGAAATGTCTTTTTAAGCATTCGCATCCATTTCTTTGCGTTGAAGTGAATTATTTTAGATCCTTTTCAACTGCAATTGCATTCATTGAAGAAATTAAAAAGTGCGAGTATTATCTATTCACTCGACATCTTTCGGGCTTTCCTGACATTTCCTGAAATATTTTCTTTAAGTTTATTTTTATTTTTTATTTTTTGTTGTTTCCAGTGTACTACAGTCCGTGGCACGACATGCAATGAGGACAGCGACTGCGCATGCCTGAACCATCACAACTCGCCACTGATTTGTAACTACTTTCTAAAGTGCAAAGAGAAAAGCTTCTGGGACATCATCTGGAGGAAGTTGCCAGTAAGTTAGATTCTATATGCCAGAACAGAAAGATACGGGTCAAAAAAATCAGTATCATTTTTTTTGAATGTTGTCTAGCTTGTCAGGAGCGCTCAAAATTTTGACGGAATTTTCGGCCAAAATATTTCAGAAAATGGCTGCAACGTTTAGGGCAAACTTACAAAACGACGTTTAAGTAGGTGGAGCTAGTTTATTTCTCTCCCTGTGACAGAGATTATGGTGCTCTTAAAATGCTAAAGGCGTTTTCGTTGAAAATATTTCGGCAAATCGCGTCAGTTTAATGCGAATTTACAAAACGACGTTCAATTTTGAGCTATTTTTTGTCTTAGAGAATCAAGGTTTTACTGGTAGAAAGCTTAATTGCGTTGACTGAAACCAAAGCGGTTCAAGAAGACTACATTCAGTTGGAGGTTGAGTAGCAAGCCTGGCTTTTGTTCAACTTCGTTTTGAACTAAAATTCTCTGCGTTGGTCAGTCAGCACATAAAACGAACGGGAGGATGCCGAGACATTCTCAAATTTTCCCTGCTAAAGTTTGAAAAATCTAAACTGTTTTGGGATCCTCCTCAAGTTACTGTTTTTCGTACTTGACTTAGTTAGCTTTGTGTTTTGTTTGTTTGAATTCTGGCGTCATGAAGCAGGGACAAAATGACTTCAATTTTCAATGTTGCATAATGCACGCTGCTCATACAAACTGTCCCGGCTCCAAAGAAATGAACCGCTATCCGTTTGTTGTGCAAGAGCTTGCGTACTATCCCCACAGCATGGGTCCTGTGTGTATACACGAAGGGGTTTGTCCCCGCTTCACTTTTAGCGTGTGCGAAACTGTCCGTTACCACGATTCAGCCAAAATTGCTTTGACTTCTATTCTGTAATCTCTGCATTTGACTTTGTTTTAATGCAAAGAAAAGCACATTGAAAGAATTTGGACAGCCCAAGTGTTGCAAAATTTGTTTCTTACGTCGTTTGTACTTTCGTTCATTTGCAGTGTCGTCGTGTTTACAAGTCATCTTGTATGGTGGAAGACGATTGTGAGTGTAGTGAAGCTCCATTAACTTGTGAAAATAACGAATGTGTCAAGGCAAAAGTTGTGCACGCTTAGCTGAACAGATTCAGCACTGTTACGGAATACTTCAGCCACAAAACGATACTTTTAACTCCCAAAACCCTGCTTGTGATTTGTGTGTCTTCTTTATCTCAGTAGTACATATACTCAGTTCTCAGCCAAAACAAACCAGCTCTCTTTAACTACAATATATAAGAAATTTACGACAATGAATCGTTAGCTAAATACGTTTAACTCTACTATACATTAAAAAAAAAGTTTTCAGGTTGCTTGTCAACTGTCCTTACTCAGTATGTCGATATTTCATAGCATGCTCTAAAACTTCATATTCACGTTGATTTTCTCAAAGTGAACCAGTATTATCAAAATAACATTACGAAACTTTGCAGTACAAAACGCCAGCGAGTTTTAATGCCCGTAAAATAATATCTTATACGTATCTGTCTATAAACGCCTTTATAAGGTTTGAAAAGTTAATCGTAAACAGCCTGCCGCGGTATATTCGCCGTTCTGATACAGAGGCATGAGTTTTGTCGGTTATTTTAATCATGTAGGATTTCAACAGGTCAGATTTACTTGAACTTCATTAGTAGTTTAGAATGGCTAACTCTTTTTATCACTTTCCCACCTGAAACTGCACACTACTCCAATGAATTTTGTTTTAAATAAAGCAGCATATTTAGAAAATAAATTTTAAAAATGGATGCGTATGAAAGACGGAGACTTTAAAATGTTTGTTGCACTGTTGCACTATCTGTAGCCAAGGACTAAGTAATAAAGTAGTGATCGATGTCTTTAGCTTTTGTTTTGTTTTGTTTTTTTGTTTTTTTCGTCAAATTTGTCAGGTCTACAAGGTTTCTTGTAGAGTTTAGCGACGGATTATAACAATAATAATAACAATAATAATGATAATAATTATTATTATTATTATCATTATTATTATTATTATTATTATTATTATTATTATTATTATTATTATTTCACCGTGGTTTGAAGTGAACCCTGCCAGATCATGCCACAGGACGTATTCTAGAATCTTTTTCCTGATCTACAAAATTGCGTTCACATTGGACAAATTCCTCTTCATAATCATAGATCTATAAGGTCATAAAACACTAGAGAGGTTACGAATGAGGGAGATGACAACCCGTTATGAAGAGTAAAGTTGAAAAAAAAAATAGCCAATATATTATTGTCAAGATACATCGTATCATACCTTCTTTAACTTTGACGAATTCAGTCTCGTTATAGGGGCACAATACTTACTATACAATCAGCCAGATATAAAATGAGCATTAAAGGTACCAATCTAACTAACAAGGAACTGTGTTTTATTGGACATTTTTATAAACGCCATTCTGCTGAGCGATTGAAGGCTCAGTGCCCGGCAGATATATCATGTTTTAATGAGTATGACCTGATAGGTAAAAGTAAAGTCTGCATACGAGCCAAGTGGCCCATCAGGTGGGAGTTTATCCCGGTTTCCGTGGCATGAAACGACTCGGAGTATTTCTACTTCCCCTGGATGGGACACTAATCCATCGCAGTTACCCCCTGCATTGAATTCGCCGGTACTCATTTTAATACCTAGGTGCAGAGAGGCACTGTGGGAGTAAAGTGTCTTGCCCATGCAAGAACACAACTCAATGTCCCCGGCTAGGGCTCGAACCCGGACCGCTCAATCCGGAGACGAGCGCACTAACCATGAAGCCACCGCGTCTCTAAAGTATGACCTGGAGCTTGCTTTAAGCTTGCTTCATTACCTCACATTAAAGAGATAATTAAAACATAACAACTCCAAAAAAAGGTTATGACTGGAAGATATAAAAATTTTACCAGAATGACAATTTTGAATTCTAGACATCCTGGCACAAAATCGAACGTCTTCCCCAACCTCGTTGTTCCATTTTGTTCCGAAGACACTTTTTATCAATTTTACTGATATGTTTGGTGGTATTTGGCAAATAGAATACTAAAATGAGGAAATAAAACTTTCGATAACGAATCAGCCAACTTAAAAACCTTTCAAAAGCTTGTTTTGAAAGTACTGGAATAACTGATACAAGTCATTTTTGTTCTGTCCTTCTATCCACACCATCTCTAACACCACACTATCACGTGACAAGTCATAAGCTATCTCTACACCAGACTCTACTCGCACCGTAAACGACAAGAGAGGTCTGGAAACATTTTCGCCCTGCTGTATGTCATTGCTAGCAGAAGCCGAACTGCGTTCCTGAGAATCAGGCAATTCTCTTGGTTGTGCATCAGAACTTGTAAGCGCTTCCGCGTCAAAGTTTACAGAGAGGTTTGTCTTTACTTTACTCTCGTCCTCTAGCACTTTCTGTGTTTCCATGTCAGTCGAGGTGTCTCCCACACGGTGTGTTGCAGCTTCGTCTACACTAGCAGGCAGACAGTCACCTGTGTTTTCTTGGTGGACACCTTGCCTGAGGTTTTCCCGTCGTTTTCTCCTCTGATGTGCCCAGGTTATCTCGCAAGCCACACAGTGAAGAGTAAATATTCCTCTGTATCTGTCAGCTTCATCCTGTTCACTCACAGTGACCTGGGTTGAGAAGAGAAAGCAAAAAGATATTTAAAGCAAAAACCTACAAACTTTTAGTTAAATTTACGGCTGGATACAGGAATTGCACCACTCTAAGATGTACTCCGGTTAGCCTAAATACCACCTTGGTTAGCCTGCACAGCACTCCAATTAGCCTGAGTAGCGTTCCAGTTAGTTTGACTTAGGCCTGACTTGGAAGTGGTTAGCTCTTTAATAGGGTGCAATTCCTGTGTTTAGCTGCATGCCTAGTTAGGGTGGTTTGTTTAGCAATGACATTTGCTAATGAAATCTGAGCTACAAAATTAAGAACAATGATTTGCTAACAGCACGGACCAACTGTTATCCCTCTAGGCCAGACCAGACCTGAAGCCAAACAGAAATCAAGTTCAGCTCATTAGAATGGTCCATCATTTTAAGACGGGCCCTTCACGGTCATTACACGAGCGAGTTCCTGAGAGTTGTGTGTTTTCTGAGTTTAGTCCACGTCCGCTTGGTGATAGGCTGGATAACGTTACACACCGAATAAACCACCATGTACTGAATATTGCCATCCCCTGGCTAGTAATGTGTCGGTGGGTTAGTTAGCGCTATCCATCCTTTCGACAACCAGAGGGCTTGAAAGATAAGCATTCAATTCAATACTCGTGTCACTTGTTGCACCACTGTCTCCAGGCACACGTGAGAGTTTCGCGCGCGAATTCGGTCCGCGTTCTCGTTGTTGCTATTCCTCTCGTCTGTCAAAAGACGGGTTTCTTTTCTGTGAGTTATTTTTATTCCAGCGTAAGGAGCCCGAGAGCGACTGCGAGAGCCCTCTGTTTTTGTCTTTCCCCGGCCCCAATCCCTTGCGTTTTGGCTCGTTCTTATTGCGTGCGATCTCCATGAAGGAGCAATCGTGACGACTTTCCCTTTCAAACTCAAGAAAAAATGGAGGGTCAGTGAACAGACTATTATTCTTGTTTTTGTTTCACTTTTCGCTTTTGACGACAAAAATGGCTGGAACTTTCTCAAAAGAGAACTGAAACAAGATAACAGCTGCAATACACGAAGGCGTTAATAATCTCGGTATTACTACTCATATATCAACCTGCCATTATATCATTATATCATTATTTCACAACAGAAAATTACAAATACAGTCGTTACCTTTAACTCGTTCAGTATCTCTCTGACGTAATTTCCTATCGCTGTAACTTTGTCTGACATCTCAGCTTTCTTCTCACAACCTGCGCGTGTGGCTGCAACTTCATCAGGAATGACAAAGTGTAGAGGCTTTGCCTTTTTCGTTCGTTTACGGCGCTTTGAAGGAGAGTCCTGATGGAAACCATATACAGGACTTTAAAATGATAATGATATTAACTGATCGTTTTCTTCCGCGGACGAAATGCGATCCTGACTACGAGGCACAAAAAATTTCGTTTTGAAAGCGATTAATGAGACCCGTGAAATATATTAAACATAAAAATACTGATTTGAGATTTCGAAACTCCGTGCTGAGGAGTCATTCTTCCCTTCTGCTATTGTAAGAGTCTTCCTAAGGAGTTTTAATAGCATTTGGAAGACTTACTGTAGCACCCACGGGGGGGGGAATCCTACGCGAAAAAAGTCGAGTATGCTCGTCATCTCCCTTAGGGTGTTAATCACGGATTTTGATCTTACTTAGCGTTACCAGGACGAACTGCCACTATTTTATGCCGTCAAAGCATCTTTTAGGGTTGCAAAATACCACTCTCGTTTCCATTTTAAAGTGGTATCTTTTGGGGGTCAAATAAAGTTCGAGCGACGCCCAGATTGGTCAATTCAAATTTTCCGACGAGCATACCCGAGTTTTCACAGGGGAGTCCCCCCGGACTTTTGCATTCAGGGTTGCGACTACACTACCATAATATTGGTTAGTTTCAGATCAAGAGATGACCACCTTGAATCGATTAAACGATGAGAAAAACCTCGCTTGTGTTAATTTAATAAGCAGCGTGTTCATGAAACCTACAGATATTTCTTGCAAAAGTGACTAGCCGGGTTTCCCATACTAAAAAAATCTGGTCAGTATTGAAACAATTTCCGTTATTGTCATTCAACACAGTTGAATTGCGCATGGGCGAAATGAATACCATACAGTTCTCGCAGGAATAATCCGCCCTAAAGTCAGCTTGCAGTTCCGTTTCAGTGTGTTTACAGAGTTTGTCGTTCCGCCCTTTCTCGTTGTGTTTCGTGTCGTTATATTATCACAGATTATCACAGTTAATTGACTTTCACCTCAGGCACCATGTGTATCGCTAATATGCTAATATGAATTTCAGACATAACTACATTCTAAATAGAAGCCCGTCATACTCGAAACGTAATATACCCTTGCATAGCAGGCCTTCCTCCTTCTGACAACCAAGAATACATGTAGTTCAGCAGCCCATTCGCGACCACAACAATTGGGGCTTATTTTTAATATTATTTAGGTGTGGAATTGCCGGTATATCTACCAACATCTATCTGCAGAATCTGGTAACACACCTTAACTGCGACATCAGGTAGGAAGGACCAAGCCACACCCCAACGCATTGTATGGCCCTGACAAAACTCTGTAGTTGTTACAGTCTTGANAAGCCTATCCCATAATACTTGTCACATGCAGCCACAGACAGCCCAACAGACACTTCAAGTAGGTTATGGTGACATCTTATAAAAAACAAAGATTTTGATCATATCAAGTAATTTGAATAGACAATGAGTGACCGTCCACTGAAAAAATATCCCTTTGTAAAAGTCAGTTTGCCAGTATTACACTGTTCTAACACACCCATGTTATTTCAGAACACTTAGAAAATGTTGAAAACACTCACATGCAGTTCATGTTTTCTAAATTTCTCTTGTGTTGTCAAATTTCTGTTTTCTTACAACAATTGAATACAAGAGTTCCATGAAGTTACCTCTAACCATATGGGCCCCTCTTTAAACAACTGGGGTGCCAGTGGGTGGTTCCAGAAAATATCCATATCCCCAACACGGAGGGAACTGGAAATTCTGAAGGGGTGGGGGGGGGTCAAAGACCCAGGAAATTCTGGAGGGATGGGGGGCTATTTTTGAGTTTAGAAAATGGAAATTCTAAGGAGGTGAGGGGTCTTACGTGACATTCCCTCCATGGTGGGGGTATGGATATTTTCTGGAACTACACATACAGACCAAAGTTACAAACTGTACCTGATCTGCTCCTTGAGAAACAGACTGTCCTTGATAATCCCTTTGACAAATTCCACCTCACCTCCTCCGGTCACTGTTTCAGTTTCCGTTCCAGTGCACACCCCACTAGGCTGAGGACGTTTGTCACTACGTGCCACACCATGAGAAGCCTCAAATTCACTGACAAAGAATGGTGGATTGCACATACAGAAATCAAACTCTTTGGTGTCTTCACCTTCAATGGGTACTTTGAGAAAACTGTCATGAGTGACCTGTTTCACTAAAGTAATCAATAGAGCCATGTGTAAACAGTTTAGCTGTGATACATTTGGACCACAGACTCATCTAAGCTAACTCTCCCTGAATAAATGGGAGTCTCCCAAAATATTATACACATTGAATCTCCTGGCCTCCTTAATGGTTTGTAAATAGACAAAAAGAGTGAACATGTCTGAAAATGTGCAAAAAGGCATTTTTAATAATAATAAAATTACAATATGGATATTCCCCTTACCACTTATGTTACTTTCCAGGCCATTTTGTTTTACATTTTCTCTTGCGTAAGAAGCTGATGAGTCATCCACCTCAGTTGCCAAGAAATGCCAGTTGTTGAGTTTAGCCCCCAGCAGAGGATAAATACAGGATGCTCCTGAACCTAACAATAATTAAAATAACAAAACTGAAGATTGTTATACACTCGTTCATTATCTGCAAATTGATTTGACGTAATTACAAATATTTATGGTGCATGACAATATCATTCATTACTGTGCATATACACAGTTTCACAATTTCCCATTCAGATGCCCTGTCTACTGATAAAGCCCCACAATATCAAGTCACACACCTGATATGGCTAGTTATGAGGCTGGTTTGGTCTTGCCATGACTTATTACTGATGTTTGAATCATCCAGTTGAATGTAACTGCCAGGTTAACTGTCACGTTAACTGTCACGCAGTCTTCTTAAATAAGAACGCGCGACAGTTAACGTTCAGAATCCAAGTGACAAGTGTACTGGAAAACAAGTTCAAATGCTTCATTGGTGCTAAAGCTGTTGGTTTACCCGATCTACATGAATGAGTGGAGAGTAACTTGCTTCTCCACTAAATCCATACACAGATACAATTTTTTGAAAATCAGGCCTTAAAAAACAACATTTAGTCCTTACCAATATCACAGCCACGAACCGTTGCGTGACGTTGAGTATGAGGAAGACATGCCAGCAGGTCTTCAATCCATAAGATGTAGTTAAGACGAAGAGGAACTGTGGGTATCAATCGATCCAAGGGAATGCTGAGTTTGAGACCAAAGTCGGTTTCTAGCAAAGCACAAGTCAAAGCCCGGAGTGCTTCAGGGTCTTTGAAGTTCAAAGTGAAACGTCCAGGTTTAGTTTCCTTGGCAAACTTTCGAAAGTAATCAAATTTTTCAGCAAGAATCTTGAAGTCAGGTGGAGATTTTCTGTAAATGTTTCTCGGGTGCATTAGGTCATTGAAGCCCATACTTTGTGCTGTCTGGTCAAAGAAACAGTGAAACGTCGGTACGACGAACGAACAAGCACCATGCGGCCATGTTGGACGTGATTTACAACGTGGAGACTGGAACTTACTGACTAGTGCCCAGACTCACCGCTTGCTGCTCAGATAAGTCCTTTCGCTGGCACAGGACCACATAAGGAGTCACTTGTATTACAAATGCTGCAAGACTAAACTTAGCGAGGCTTCTTTAAACACTTTACAATGTAACGATTAGGGAATTAGGGACAGCACTCGACTCCGATCGAATATGACGCAAAAATTGGGGAAATCAGGGGGTTCACGGATCGATACTGGTACGCTATTCACCATGTTAAACTCGATTCACACTACTGCCTTGCAAAGTCTTGAAAAAGCATTGCTTTACTGCCATGTTGTAAAGTCAAATTTAGAGCATACCTTTTTCTTAAGCTAGATAGAACACTGTGTCCAGGAATTTCCCTGAAATTGAACGTTTTATCATGCAAACTGCGCGACCGAAAGGCGACTGAAACGGTCTGGTGGCACGGGCGGTATGGTTTAACCACGCTTTGATGTCTGTAAACATTGATGACTTGACAAAGGTTTCTTTCCTTCAAAACAGGTGGGCAACCGTATAAAATACGGTTTGGGTGATTTGAATAACTAAACATTGTTTGTCTATCATCATGAACAAAGCTGTTCCTTATCACGAAAAAAAAAACATGCACCTTTATCAACAACTTAAACAAAAAAAGACAATGTCTTGCGACCCGAACTTCTCGACTACTGTTCATGGTTTATTTTAAGTTCATGAGATAGAATTCTAGAGAACTAAGGAAACATGCAAAGCAGTCGTGCTGCGCATATAGAGAGCTTATTATCGATCACAGGATCCCATCCTAAACAATACACAGGTCAAAGACAATTCACGTTAAATTGAACTCCGGCGAAACCAAAATGGTCAAAGCCTAGAGGCACTTTTTAAAGTGAAACCGCAACTTTAAAATCAGGAAAGCCTTTTGGATCCAGATCTTACTCAGGGTTATATAGAAAACTGAATCAAAAGCCCTTGTTGTCTGTATTTTAAAGGAGCTCAATCACGGTATTTTGAGTTATTTTGGCCACATATAAAAATTACGTTTAAATGGTAGGAAACCTGAAAATAACAGTTTAATAAGATAGAAAAACACCAAAGAGATAATCATAAATCATGAAGGAACAAGGTTGTCTAAGGATGGAGAAAATTAATACGGATTACAAACGACGAATTTGAAAAATTGAGGCTAAACTTTTCAATATGCGCAAACCGTGGCTGAGCTTCTTTAAAACAGAGTAAAATTACTTTTCAATCATTTCGACGTTAAGTTATGCCCCGACTATGGGTACAAAAGTCTGACAATCGGTACGAGAATTAGAACCTAATTGAAAACTGTTACGCTAGAAATACTAGCAGTGCCACAAAGTAGAAATTACAATGAGTTACCTGTTCAGAGTGTTTACCTTTATTTCTTCCATGATCTTCACAATTGTTTTCAATTTTGTTTATTTTTTGCCCTTCGAGGGGGTGTCTTGCCACCCAATACACTACCCTCCCCCTTCCCCCCGCTAAATCCACCCCTGGGTTTGGGTGATTTGAATAACTAAACATTGTTTTGTCTATCATCATGTTTTTTTTTTTTTATGGCACGGAAAAAAATAGTGCAACTTAAACAAAAAACAATGCTTCACGATCCGAACCGTTTTCAGTCACTGTTCATGTTTTATTTGAAGTTCAAGATATAGAATTCTAGAGAACTAAGGAAACATAGCAAAGCAGTCGAGCTATACATGTAGAGAGCTTATTATCGACCCCAGGAGCCCATGCTAAAACAATTCGCAGGTCAAAGACAATTCACGTTCAACCCGGGCGAAAACAAAATGTCGACGCCTAGAGGCATTTTGAAGTGAAACCGCAACTTTAAAATCAAGAAAGCGTTTTGGATCCAGATCTTACTCAGGGTTATATAGAAAACTGAATCAAAAGCCTTTGTTGTCTGTATTTTAAGACGGCATAAAATTACTTTTCAATCATTTCGACGTTTAGTTACGCCCCGACTCTGGCGGGTACAAACTAAGCTGAATTTTTTGAGTCAACCTGAAGGTAAAAATTCTGTGAAAATTAGTGTTTGCTTTGCCATGCAAAAAGCATCGATGGACCGGGATGGAAATGTTTCTAAAGTTGTTTTTGTTAGTGGATCTAAATCTACTAATTTTGTATCTAAAAACCGTCCTCGAATAAGGACGTGGTTTATTATGGTTGTAGCGGTTGTTTTAATCCTTGGAGCTGTAGTTTTATCAGCTGTGTTTATGCGCAAAACAAAGGAAAAGACCAATTCTTCGCGCTCTGTGACCGAAGTCAACTTGGAAGAAGGTGAAATACTAACGTATCGAGTTGAGCAGAGGCTCGAAATACGAGGTGGAGATGTGCAAAAAGGTATTGAGATCGAAAAAGCTGTTCTATAGCCATAAATACTTATCTGACTTAATTAATGTTCTATTTCAATCATTTTAGAGTAATGTATAAACTTTTATATGTAATTGTAAAGTGTCACAAGGAGAACCTTGTCGAACTCGAAACTGTTGCCTGCAAAAAGAAAATTTGAAAACCTGACAATGGCAAACCTTATGTCCGGGGCCTTGTGGTTACGAGCCTGTTCATCTCGCTGTGTGAAGTCCTTTTCGATCCTCCTAATCGTTAGTCAACCTAACTTCCTAGTATTTTAGTAGTTATTCGAGTGTTTTTCTGAAGAAAAGAACAATTTATTTTACTGTTTTTGAATGATCTTGAAGTGGCAGTAAAAGTTTCGGAATCCAAGCTCATTCTGTGATTTACTACTTATAAGCAAAATCAATTGTTAAATTTTATGAAACACCCGCGTATGTTTGCCATGGTGCATAACTTAGCCTGTCTGCCTACGCAAAGACATCGCGAATAAACGATGGAAATCCGTTCTAATTATAAAATCCGACAATCGGTGCGCCGTCGGTGTACAAAGACAACGAACGATTGGCCACTAAATTGTCTCCGGCGAGTTTTAGTTAGTTGATTCAGTCACTCAGTAGAGATTTAGTCGCAGCATCGGAAGAACCAAGTTTATACATAACTTCTTGCAACTTCAGATCTCGGCCCTTTTCCATCTTAAGAGTCTAGAGACATATTCCAGCATTACAGTCTGACTCTTATGTGCTACAATATAAATCTTTTCCGTGGAATTTACGACGATATTTCACCCGGATTTGAGACGAAAGATTCAGGCTTCCTTTTGCACTCACTGTAACTTCATTCCTAAAATTTCGTCGACATGGTCGCAAAATCTACAATCTCACAACAAAAAAGAAAATAGGTTCTGAACTATACTGATAGCATATAAAATTGTTGATGGAAGTGTTCTACCAACTGAGCTATGCAGACCCGCCATAAGCACACTGGGAGCTGACCAATTTATTGCAACCCCATCGTCGGTAGTTTATTTGCGCATGCGGAATTTCTAGGTCTTTATATCCATGCATTTTTTTAGTTGGGCTTCACGTGCAATATGCTTAAATTGCAATTATTCAGCCTTTCATTACTTTCACGGGTTAAAATGAACTCAAC